ATTGGTGGGGTGCATCACAACATGGAAGAGTATTTCAAAGCACTCGAATTCTATCAAAAAACACTTGAAATCGACCAAAAATCGCTCCCACCAAATCATCTCAATATGGCTGCTACCTACAACAACATCGGCGGCGCACATTTAAGCATTGGAAACCATTCCAAAGCACTCGAGTTCTATCAAAAGACACTTGAAATCATCCAAAACGCTCTTCCTCCAAATCATCCCAGTTTATCTATTGCCTACGATAACAGTGGTGGGGTACATTTAAACATGGAAGAGTATTCCCAAGCACTCGAGTTCTATCAAAAATCACTCGAAATCCGTCAAAACTCGCTTTGTCCAAATCATCCAGATTTGACTATTACCTATAGCTCTATCGGCACGGTGCATTTAAAGATGAAAAAGTATCAGAAAGCACTCGAGTTCTATCAGAAGACACTTGAAATCCGACAACAATCGCTTCCTCCAAATCATCTCAGTTTGGCTATTACCTACAATAACACCGATCATGTGCATGACAACATGGGAGAATATTCGAAAGCACTCGACTTGTATGAGAAGGCACTTGAAATCCAACAAAAAATTCTCCCTCCAAATCATCCAGATTTGGCTATTACATACAACAACATCGGTCAGGTGCATGACATCATGGGTGAATATTCGAAAGCGCTCGAGTTCTATCAAAAGACACTTGAAATTCAAGAAAGATTTCTCTCTCCAACTGATCTCAGTTTAGCTAGCACCTACAACAACATCGGTTTGGTACATTACAACATGGGAGAATATTCGAAAGCACTAGAGTTCTATCAAAAGACACTTGAAATCCGACAAATATCCCTCCCTCCAAATCATCCTGGTTTAGCGAGTACGTACAACTGTATCGGTGTGGTACATTTTAACAGAGAAGAATATTCAAAAGTACTCGAGTTCTATCAGAAGACATTTGAAATCATCCAAAAATCTTACCCTTCAAACCATCCAAGTTTCGCTGCTACCTACAACAACATCGGTTTGGTGCATTACAACATGGGTGATTATTCGAAAGCACTCGAGTCCTATCAAAAGGCACTGAAAATTGACCAAAAATCACTCCCTCCGAATCATCCCAGTTTGGCTACTACGTATAAGAACATCGGTTTGGTGTATGACTGTATGAGAGAGTACTCGAAAGCATTCGTGTTTCATAAAAAGGCCCTTGAAATCCGACAAAACTCGCTTCCCCCAGATCATCCAGATTTGGCTCAAAGCTACAATAACATCGGTCAGGTTCATGATCACATGGGGCAGTACTTGAAAGCAACCTCATTTTACGAGCACGCTGTGGAAATCGGACAACTTTTATTGTCTGGAAATCACCCTCATCTTCAATTGTATCGAAAACGCCTCGCTGAAGTACAGAAAAATTATAATTGACTTTAGTTTTGAGGATCAAAATACTAATTCGGTATTAGGCCTACTCACATACTCTCACATGATTATTGAAATAGAACAGCTGATTTCTTCAACGACGGTTAGCGGCAGCCTAAAAAAAGGCATAGAGAACAATGGCTTTAAGAGATGATCGATGAAGAAGAGATAGATGTGTCTAACAGTTTGCATGATATTATATGTTTGTGAAAAGTTATGTAACGTTTCTGTTCCAATATAACAGTAAGTCACTGTAATTATAGTCCTGTATTTGTCTATTGAATGTTCAACTACTGTTACATTTGTAATAGAAATAGCCCAATATCTGCAGTACAGAGCTGGGCAGCCCTTATCGCTCGCCATTTCAAAAAAAAATGTTTCTCATTCACTGTTTTCTCTTTTAATGAATTTTTTACGCTTCCCAGTAATAATACAGATATAGACTACATTAAGTGAATACACTAGATCTAAAGCTAGATGATGAATGCAGCGATACTATGATCAAATCGAAGGTAAAAATCAAAATAAAATATAGAACAGATATGCCCATACTTATCTTATTATATTCCATAAGAGTGTCATTATTACTTCAATCCAACGTACATAACATCATCAAATGTAAACAGAACGAGAAAAACTCAAAGCCTGCTCTAAGTGAACAACCAGACGGATATGATCTCAAGTTCTATTTTCCAACGTTCAAATATTGGAATGAATACATATATGGTTAGTCCATCTTTCTCTAAAACTAGATTTTCAGAAATTGAGTTGAATCTTGAGAAAGCCAATCGGCAAAAAATTTGCTCATCAATTAGTAGTTATACAAAAATCAGTGCTGTTATCAACCCATCAAAATATTTGAAGATGGAAAACTATAAGAAACGAATTATTAGTTGATAAGCTTGGTTGTGTGAAAAAATTATTTCGATCGAACTAGAAGTGGAATAGAAAAAAGCGGTTACTAGGTCGAAAGTAGATCGAAAAATCGTCTTATCGTATTTTGTGAATGCAACAAGGCGTTCTTTTCTGATGGCGCCAAAACTTGCACCAATTATTTTCCTATATGTGATTTATCGTTGGTCATATCGCTGTATTGTACCAGTTGATAAACGCAGCGCTAAGATTTTTCTAATAAACGCGACAAAGAGTTTTAATCCAATAGATCTGAAACTCCCACCAATTATCCTTCTACATGTGGTTCATAGTTGATCATAGCGCCATTTCGTACTGATGGGTACAGCTGGTGTTAGGGGACTTTCAAAATCTGAAGTATTTGTACCCGAATTTCTCTTTGTGACAACAACGCATCATTTTGGTAAAAAGAAACTAAGATGATATTTCTAATCAGCTCATCGAGCTGCATTGAATCATATATAATTAAGAACGGTTTTTCGAAGTACATTTTCAAAACCTTTATGCAAGAACAGCTTAAAAAACAAGTCATAGAGAGTTTTTCGAACGCTACAACACAGATGGAGACATACGGCGCGTAAACGATCCTTATATAACCGTATACGGACATCGTAACAAATCGCCTAGGAAAGAGTTTTAACCTGATTGAGCTCAGCCTTTTACTAGCTGTGATCTTCTATATTAATTTATCGTTAACTATGTATAACATATCGAATCCGCAACCATTGACTAGGCTTGGGTTTCCCAAAAAAACTGTATTTTTTGACCCTAACATCTCTTTTTGTCCTTAGAAAATAATATGTTCTAAGAAGCAGAATTGACTCTTTTTCACAATCTTGAATTGCTTTCTGAATGTATCTGTCAATAAAATTTGCAATGTACACTTCTTTGCTAACATTCACCCCACATTCGTTTTTACTGCAACTTAGATATAATTAAAAGCTAAAAATACTGACTTCATCGTCATATGACATATTATCACACTTATATAACAAATTCTTAATGGCCAGTGAAACTTGCTGATGCACTTCCAATAAAAATACAACATGAGCTTTAACGAGTTGAATAAGTCATCTCAAGAAAAATGAAAAACATTCACATATAGTATCATACGTTCCCAAATCCAAAGGTTGGAAAAACTTTTCAAGAACATTTGAAGTTGACACTTGGTGGATATTATTAAAATAGATCCAATCGTAACCTTCCGAACTATCTTCAAGCTATTTGAGCATGTCAATAGGTTCGACTGTAAGAATATCAACAGTAGCATAGAGCTGTATAAACGCTCTGCAGTTTCTTGTACTATTCGTATAATAAAGATAGAGTTCTCTGTTGAACTTCTCTTTACCAAAAAAAAAGAACTTTTCCGCACAGCATTACAAAATACATCGAAATTACTTGTGGTGACTTTTAGTGCTATGTTGACATAGTGAGGTGTAAGATCAGAAAGATAGTTGATGTTCTCTTTGTTGCATAGATGATAATATAGGTCGATAACAAACGTGTCAATGAGCTCAGCAGAATATGTATGTATAGGATTAACAATTTCGTGTACATTGATGTCAGATACAGAATGTATTATTTTTATTTAACAATTGTTGCAATAGTATGTTGTATCTCTTTCGAGGAATTATATTTAACTTATTTTTAAATCAGTTCGATATTTTACGTCAATCAAACAGAAACTAGCCCTTCAGTTGAAATATCTTGAAATTCTGTAGGGATTTTCTGTAAGCTCGTAAAAAAAACATATAGGACACCTTCTAAATATTTATCACACGAATAAATCACTTTCTTCACATTGCTAATTGCATCATCATGCTTAACAATAGTAAGAATTATCTTTTGAACTCAACGAAATGGTTGATCATAAACTAATGCAAAAATATATTTGTATAATTCTATCGAACAGTGCTCTATTGTATCATAACAAATCAAACTTAGGATAAACCATGTGACATCAACATTAGCGAGATATTGCTCTTTGATAGTATTTTCAATTTCAGTGTGTGTATGACTCGTTCAAGTTCTAAATTGAAAATCAACTGTAAAAGTTCTTTGTAATCAATTTGGACAAGAATTTTAGAAGTATGACCCATGGTGTAAATTTCTGCGAAAAAAACGCGTTCTGAAAACGCATTTTTCCATAGCTGCGAAACGCGTTAATGCTGACCGGTTTGACGCGTTTCACATCTGCTAAAACAAACGCTGTGTAACGATTGTTTTTGTGAAAAATTTCGCAGCGTTTCTCAAACTGTGGTGTCGTAAATTCTAGATGGAAAAAAAATTGAAAATCGTCAATGACTTCATAGATCTTGAATTGCAGGTACAATTTATGTATTCGTTTACATTTTTTCATAGGCCTTTAGAACTATAACTTACATGAATTTTGATGCAATCAAGACACAGATTCGAACACGAGAACATCGGAGTATAAGACATGTATACAAACCGTTCAACTAAAATAATCTAATGATATAAGTGTTTATTCTACTGTCATTTAGAGTCCCGCGTAAACTTACTAAATTAGATTGTCAGTTTCCATTCCACTGAATTAAAAATTATCATTTCTTTGGTGCCTATGTCCAATTACGAGTGTGGTCTTTTCTTGATACATTTTTTATTTAAACTCTTTCAGATTTAAATTTAGATACACAATAGAAACGAATTTAATCGATTTACACTGTATTTAATATATAAAAAATTAAATTTCTTATATATAAATTTTAAAAAATTTAAAATTTAATCTTTTATTTATTTTCTTGATTAATATATTTTTGTAAATGTAAATCCGTCATCGTTTTATCCAATACATCAATAAATGAAAGGAGTTTTCTTTTGTAAATCGAATCTCTTTTATTAAAAAGTCACTCTTACTTCAACAATGTCCAAACTAAAATCATGTTTACTAGTATTGTACACAGTATCATTAGTTATTATCAATTAGTTCGAGTATGAACTCAAACTAATATTTATTCAAATTATAGATAACGCGATAATTCTTTTGTTCACAAATAGCCAAAGAGAGTTACTATACTAATTATATTAGTATCAGTCTTTACTAAATCTCTTCGAAATGCTCAATACTTAAAACGACCTGTCCACGTAAAACGTGATTCCGTCACGCTTTATTTGTTTTATTTCATACAAATGACTCGATCTCTAGAATCCAATGCATTTGCAATCTTGGACAAAAAATTGTGCTTGTCAAAATGAGACACTGCAAATTTGTCTGTAACTTCTCATTCATTACAAACGAGCGTGACGGAATCATCTCCCTCCGTGGACAAGTCGAAAACAATTCTTAAGTAAACCTTACGAAACACGTTTTCTTTCAATAAAAACGTGGTGAAATGAGTTTTTAAGTAAGAAGAATATATTTTTTGTTACACTTTGATGTTTTACATTACTCTAACTTCGAATTAGGTCTAGATAACAGCCTAGCAGCCTAAAAATTTCCAAGACTTTTATTTTAGTCTTGCCTTCATAAAATCCTGGGTCATGATTTTCACGTACAAAAATAGTGCAAGGAGCAAAACTTTCAAGTGCTATTTCATATCATTTCCAAAGTAATTTTAAAGAATTTACTTTGCTTAACTCCTATGCTTTGTGTTGGTGAATTTTTGCAAGATTCTGTATGCGGAATGGATATATTTTGCATCATTCCAAGCAAAAATAATGCAACACACATTTGAAAAAGAAACGCGTTTTACGTTTCCCCCAATTTGTATCTGTGGAACGCGTCGCCTGTCGACCAAAGTGCGTTCGACAGCATTTTAATTCGGAAACGCCTCGAAACGCAATCTTGAAAAAAGCGTTTCGGATCGTTTCAAAAAACGACTGTGGCAAAACGCATTTTATGTAAGTAAGAATGCTGCGAAACGCGTCCTATATTGCAAAAACGTTGCGAAACGCATGCTGCAACCTCGGAAACGCGTTACGCAGTCCGTTTCCTTCAATATTTTACTCCATGGGGATCAGCATTTCGATTTATTACAATCAAGATTTGGTGAAGAGTATTTAAATTGATAAATCGTAAATTCAACAAACGGAAAACGATATATGAGAGACGATAGTCAGTATCAATAAGAAACATATTCTCGATGATATCGATTAAACCAAGAATATTCGAACCTTCCATAATTAATTGTAATGCGGCATAATGTGCAAAAAGATTTCAAATCTTGATGCATTCGATAGTTGGGCCATTTCTTAATCTAATCAATTTCTTGTTTGGTCGATACCTGCAGATGATTAGTGATTCATGTTGCAAATTCAAAGGTCATTATGTACTTATTTATTGACGACTCATTTCATAATTGCTTCTATTCTTTCACAAATGAAATTTTACACTTGTCATCATTTTCGTTATATATTTTTAGACAGTGAGCATCGAAAGCCAACTCAACTAAATACATATAGAAGATAGAATAATATTATTAGACGATCAAATATACGGAAGAAATAACATAATATATGTTTGTTTTTACTTTGAAAAGTTCTTTTGATTTAAAAGATTCCTTTTTAAGACTGATAACGACTGTATTTACAATCGATAGTGACATGTTACATTTTGTACCTATACTATCTAGCATTGGTGTACATTCAATGCCAACAAATAGATATCAAATATGTTTATTGATAGATCACTATAAAGCTATAAAAATGCAGCAAATATTAAAAGTGTTTTATCCAGCAACATATACACAGTTAAAAGTTGAATATTCATTGATTTTCATTCATAGATACTTTTTATTTGCGAGTTTAACAACAAAAAAAAGCAAACGCTTGATTAATTGGATTAATTGTTCAAAAAGAAACATCTTTAAAAATGCAAACATTTAAATAACCAGATCGTGAAGACGAACAATATAGTTAGATAGAGAACTACTGATCCTCGTGAGTCATAAACGAAAGTGCTTAGGCAATCAGAATTATGTGAAGAAAAATCAAGACTAGGATCCAATTCGAATAGAAGCTAGATGAACATGATGGCGGCGAAGAAAAGTATTTGTCAGATGGTGGAATCGTTTGCGACTCAGCAAATGTAGATAGTTTTATTGAATCAACACGATTGTGATAGAAGGAAGTTGGATGTAAAGTAGAAAATGTAGATGATTTCGTTGAGTGTATATGGCTATCATACAATGGACTTGGCTCGGATGTTTCGACTAGAGTGATAACTTTTCCTGGTTGATCATTACATCGATTGGCGTAACAACAAGTAAGATTACGATATTTGTCGGATTGTTGACGCATTTGTTCACATGTAGCAATGGATGTCCATCCACGATGCCATTTGATGTTTCCATTTTGTCGATCTTGTTGTGTACATTGTGATAAATGATTTGATATTTTTGGTAAATATGAACAAACATCTTGATAGCTGAAACAAACGCAACCAACAACTGAACATAGTTCTCCTTCGAAAGTTGTGTATTGTGTTGTATGTGCTTCATAAAATGAATAATTCAACAATTTGTTTGTTCCACGACTTCTTGTTTCTTGATCATCATAAGTCGTATAACAAGTGATTGAATCACTTGCATAATTGTTACCCAAAACTTGGTGAACAATATAGAAGAAAAGTACTGACTGCACAGAGAAGCGCATTTCTCTCATCGATGTATACATATAAAAAGCAGATGATTGTTACAGTTATCAATATTTAGACTCGATGTATGTCGATTATATACAGTAACTCGAGACAGCTTGATATCTTGTTTTTCTTTCGTTCCTGCTGACGTTGATAGTAACAAGGCGGTGGGTGTATCGTTTCTAGAAACTAATGAGAAACGAAGGCTAAAAAAAGTAATGCTTGGTAATCGACTTTCTATTCACTTAGCTTGTCATTGCCCCCTTATTCAGGGAGTTGACTAATTCCGCCTCATGTCTTTTTTTCTAATGGACATATGATTGCAGAGAAAATTTCTTTCTTGGAAATAGCATATCTTAATACATTTTATTATCGTTTAGCGGAGAAAAGAACAAATTTGGTTTTTTTTTACCTTCAAAGATTTCATAAAAGATGGGAATAAATCAAATAGACTGTTACAATGTATTTCTAATCAATCTTGATATCTATTAAAATTCACTACAAAATCTTGTTCGAATGAAATATTTTGTTTGACAAAGTTTTAGATTGTGGCATTATTGAACCATTTACGATTTGAGAATAGAGAAAAAACAGTACCGCGTCGATTGTCCTTGTTCTCTGTCACAAAGACGATTCGAACGTGAGATACACTTGCGTTCTTTATCATCTTTCCACTGCTGGCAACATCCACTCACCAATACGGATGAAAAAAGACTCTCTCGATTGTCTTACTTCTTTTTACTGTTATTTATCATTGTGATTTGAAAGAATTCAAATCATGAACAACAGATAATGAGTCCTTTTGTTCATAGAACGTATCAGCTTATCATCGAATGAAACTAAAAAGATAAATGAACTTTTTGAATTTTATATCATTGAAAAAAACGTCGAAATATTGAATAATTGTTCACGTGAATTTCATTTATAGTAATGAAGCAGTGATCGAATACAGTATCAGTAAACGTTCGAGGATGTAATCTATGATCATTCTTAACCCTTTCGTTACTGAAATTTTCTTTCGTTCTGCACCAACTCGAAAAAAATCTCGATTTCGCTCTCTCTTGCGTTCTGCTCTCGATAATCAGCTGAACACGAGTTATATATTCATTCGTTCAGTGCGATAAAAAAAATTTCGAAAAGAAGAATACACTCGTTCATGTGCACACACAGATGATTTGTATCATGTAGGAAGATATCAGAACGCAAAATTTTTTCTTTCCGTTCTCCATGTCATCTACGAGATGACATGCCGTAACGAAAGGGTTAAACCTTCAAGCATCGTTTGCATATGAATATCGAAAAGATTTTTCACTTATACCTCTTGTGTGACGATTAGAGACAATACATCTATTCACTTTTTGTTTTAAAGATCCCTAAGTATAAAATCCATTTGATAAGATTAGTGAGTACGAAATCATTGTCGTAGGTTACTCTCCTAAGTATCCAAGAGTACTTTAAAGTCAAACAAACACATTCTGACCAAGGACTGAACAACTATTCAAAAACATTTGAATAATCCGATTCATTTAGATCTTCAATCAAAACACTGGAGCAATATTGAGAAATTAGGATATTTCTTAGTTTGGTAGAGGTGCTTCTTGCAAACACTAAATACACTATTTTTAGTGTTCTTCTTTAACCGGACGAACAGCCTTTCTATTCAATTCAAATCAATCAATTGAACATGATACTGCCACTTCAACACGACTAATAAGAACTCAAATCAAATAGCAAGGCCTTCATATTTTTGTCATTGACTCATCAAAGCTATTGGTTACCTGTCATCCCTTCCTGACTAGTGGAACGAACAGAATATGCATCGAAGTCGTTTACTCAAAATGCATTTAGTGTAGTAATTTCGATAAGCATGACGGGTGATAACAAGTTTGATTTGATCACAGATATCTATGCCAATCGATCGTTTTTTCATTCACAGCAATACAATACATCACGTGATGGCAATCCTTCATTTATGGATGCGATCTGCTTCCCGTGGAGAAAATCGAACAATACTATGAGAAAGAAGCACCGATACGAGTTTTGTATAATCTTGCATTTACATCGGTTGCTGACTCTCTACTCTCTCATTTTTTAAAATCTGTTTAACTATTATTCATTCAAATGCAAAGTAGGCAACACGTTCGACTGCGATCAAACTATAATTTAACTTCAATGGTCAATGGTTTACTCACTTCATTCTCGTGAAATATTATCGCACACGGAATGCGATTCTGGATGTAAATAGTCATGCATCAAATTTTCAAATAACTACAGAATCTGTAGGCATATATTTTTCATCAATTTTCTTTATTGCCTTTACATTTATTCTTATACTTCTTAGACTTAAAAATATAACACAATATCATCATTTACTTAGGGTATACCAAAAGTTTCCGATCACAGTTTTTAAAATTTAATAAAGCGATAAATATTGAATATTTTACTAAGGCGATATATAGTATAACGTCTCGTCTTTAATAATATATAGAGCAACTCTCTCTTAGACTTAGTTCTAGCATCCTTTCAGACTAAATCTATAATTTTACAGACAATGCAAATATTATTAATTCTTGTTCAATGGTCAGGTACATTCTGGAACTTTCTATTGGTCACTCTCTCGTCACGTTTTATGACGTCATGTTCTAGAATATTACATTTCGATAGTATATATAAATGAGAGGTCGTTCGCTGTTAGTTCATTTGTACCGTACTCGACTTAAAATCGTAATAGAATTTGATTTCAATCTTAAAAGAAGACATTAAACATGACTGATGAATTCAATCGATATTATATCAAAATTCGAGCTATTTTGGGAATAGATTCAAAAACAATCTTTGACGAACTTACAGAGGCATTGGGACCTGATGCTCCATCATATCCAACAGTCAGAAGATGGGCGAAACGTTTTCGTGAAGGAAGAGACGATGTCACTGATGATCCTCGATCTGGTCGTCCGATTTCGGTACTTACAGATGAAAATGTTGAACGCGTTCGACAAGTTATCGAAGATGATCCACACTCAACTTATGATGATATTATGGGTGAGACTGAGCTATCACGTGGTACAATAGAACGAATTATTCATGATCGTCTAAAGATGAGAAAAGTTACATCACGTTGGGTTGCTCATCAACTTACTGACAAACAAAAACAAAAACGACTTAGAATTTGTCGTCAAAATTTAGAGAAATTTAGAAATGGAACATGGCATTTATGTGATGTTATTACTGGTGATGAGACATGGATTTATCACAGGCAGATTGGTCGAAAGTCAAGCAATGCTACTTGGGTTGGCGAAAATGAACTACCAAGAACCATTGTTCGTCGGAATAGATTTGAACCTAGAACACTATTTTGCTTCTTCTTCAAATCCACTGGTTCTCTTCTCATACACAAAGTAGATAAGGGCAAGACAATCGATCATGACTACTATATTGATAATTGTCTTATACCTGTTATCAATGAAATAAGAAAAAAGGAAAAGTCATCACGTACTACATATAAAATGCTTCATGATAATGGTCCTCCTCATACTCATCCAGATGTTATTGATTATTTAATGGAGGAAGGAATCGAAATCATTCCACATCCACCATATTCACCAGATCTCGCACCGTGTGACTTTTGGCTAAATGATTATATCAAGAACAAGTTGACGGATCACACAAACGAAGAATCATTAGCTCAAGAGGTTTCCACCATAGTGAAGAATATTCCAATAAACGAGTTTAAAAAGACTTTCGATAAACTGTTAGAAAGAATGAAACTTTGTATCGAAAATAATGGTGATTATTTTGAGCATTTAATAAAATAAAATAACGAATGTCTCTTCGTTTCTGTATTGTGGTTTTATGTTGGCATGATCTTTTCTTGGCTATAAATACTATAGATTTAGGCTGAAAGGATGTTAGAACTAAGTCTAAGAGAGAGTTGCTCTATATATTATTAAAGACGAGACGTTATACTATATATTGCCTTAGTAAAATATTCAATATTTATTGCTTTATTAAATTTTAAAAACTGTGATCAGAACTTTTGGTATACCCTAAGTACTGCAATAACTATTATAGATTTTATACATGAAGACCTAATAATGATTCTGTTTATACTCAGTTGTCAACTAGAAATAAATTTTATTTAAACAAGAGTTTTTAGCTTCATGACATTTTCACCATATCCATAACCTTTATCTAAAAAGAAAGTTTTTTTCAATTGATTTTTTCTTTGATTTTGTGAGCACATTATAAATGTGTTTGATTTTCTTGCACACGTTATGTCGTTTTGCAATAGATCAATAATAAAAAGAAAGAGTTGTGAATTTATGGTACACAGGAATATTCTTTCTTTGTTAATAACCGATAGTATTTTGTGTTTTCGCTCCATTGATGATCATCAATCTTTCTTGACTTTACAAAATAGAAAACGAGCGATAACGACCGCTGCATGTGCACTACACACATCAAATAATCTATTTAAAGCAGTGATCTTGCTAAATTCCTCTTTATTTATCAGGTTTTTCTGAAATAGTGAACCATGTTTCTTCTTGTAGTTATTCATTATTTGAAAGGTTTCGGTATTGATTTACCAAATTCATGTACTCGTATCGAAACATTATGATAAATTATCGGACTGTTTCTCGCTTGATTCTATCTACAAAACCCACACATTCATATTTGAGAATTTCTTGATGTAAATGAGTTTGAGAGAAAAACATATCGCGAATATGCTGTTATTTTAATCTTAGTATTCATAAAACTGTGAGAGCATTGAAAAGAAATATCTGTTCTTTAGTACCTTAACACCCTTAACATTCTTTTTTCATTTCAAAAAGACAGTGTTTTTGTTTTCGTGTAGTACAATAAGAGTGTATTATCTATTCCGATATTTTCATTTATCTAAGTATAAATTAATTTATCAAATATAACAGATGCTGGAATGACACAATATTACACAACAAATAGAACAAAACAAAATATAACGATGTTGTCAAGTTAAAGTTTCGCTTCATAGAAATAAAACACTCATAACTTGTTCTATCAAATATCGATAAAATGAAACAAAAGGTCAACATTCTTTTTTGATTTTCTATTATCAATTTTTCGTTACTAAATAATTACACAATATCTCATATTTCTTTTCTTGCTTTCTTCTTTAGAAACATTTTCGATTTTTTTTTCTCATTAATCATTTACTTCTACGATTTCAAAATATGATGTTCGACTCAAGAATGATTTCTATTTTGATTATGATTTACGTAATGAATACAGTGTACGGTTCATATAATTATGTGGGTTGTTATACACAAGTCTTTTATGACAGTTATTTTAGAAGTTCATATATGGAACCAACATTATGTTTTCATTTATGTGAAACACCAATTATTTATATACAAGGTAGCATTTGTCGATGTTCAGGTGGTGGTCTTATGGATCACAGTCGACAAAGAGATAATTTCTGTACAACACTATGTCCAGCACCAGGCAGTCGTCAAATTAAAACAACTAATACATGTGGCGGTCAAGAAACCTATTCAGCTTATGCTGAATATCAATTTTATATTCGACATGCTCATTTATTTGACTATCGAATTCAATTTACTTCATGTCAATTTTGGAATACGTCTGGTTATTATGATACATTGCAAGTTAAAATTCATGAATCCTCTGTTAAATCATCATTGACTAAATTAGAACGATGTGCAGGTGCATGTTTTGATCGAAATGCGACGACAAAATCAATAGGTAAAAGAAACATTTGAAGAACGACTCGTCATCGAAGAGTTCTCGTATCCATAGAAAGACACTCGAATCCTTTTTAATCACTATTTCCTATCCTCTTAATTTCACTACGTTAAAAATCGTCAACACAATGCAGTAGATACTGAATAAGCATTTGACAACTATACAGTCAGTTTTAGTTGACTTCTAAGAAACTGTTTATTTTGTTTTTTAGAACAGCTATACCGCATATCTAAAAGCCTCTAGCTTGTAAAAGAACAGCTGTTTCAAAACTAGATATTTCTTGCATAAATACAAAATCGGCATATCTAAAAGAGCCACTTTGATAGTAACAAAAATTACCATCTCGAGATCTATGACTCCTGCTTTTGATAAGGATCTTCAATATAGTCTTGATTTCATACAGGATAATAAAGTGATTCTTTAGATCTCTACTTGAATCAAAATTGTAAAGAATATGGCCGCTTTATAAACTCCTAGTTAGAACAACACAAAAATTATGAAGATAGATAGTTAAATTTTTGACTAGAAAATGCATCGAAAATACTTTATAGACTCTTCAAAATTCAGCCTTACTAGCTAGTATTGACGATTTTTTGTCTTTTTTAACCATTCTTCTATGAAAAAAAATAGTCTTATTAAATTTCCAAGGTCAGTTTCAATCACAGATTTGTTTTTATTTATTGAGAGACACCTATAGCATACGTAAAGGGATGAAGAAAAATTTTTGTGTAATGGATAAATGAAAAAAACTGAAACCTCTGTTCTAGCTTTCAACAGTGATAACAATCAATGTTTATGTATAATGCGACAGAAATTAAATCTAGATTCTGATCGTGCACATTATTTAACAATTTTACCAAATAACAGTTGTAATAGTTATTGTGATAATACATGGGGTGATTCAAACGTCGAACATAAATTCAAATGTGGTTCATTGAACGATTCACGTATATGGGCTATATATGAATTAACTGATTTATGCCCAACTGATTTTGTTTACATAAAAGAATTAAAAGAATGTATGTCTACGTATAGAGGACTTTGGGATTCATGTCCATCATCATCGATAAAGTATGTCTATAATCAAAATATAACATGGAATAATTTTCTAAAAATTATTGAAAAGTTAAACTTAACTAAATCAATTGTTTCAATAGATTTTGATAATGATGTTACTATTGATCCTTCATGGAAATGCTCAACAACAACAAATTCAACTCATTCAAGTACAAGATATTTCACTTCAAGTTTTGATACACAGTATTTATTAGATAATGGTTGTTTACGTGTAGATTCATATTCATGGTCTGTACGTAGATTATCATATCGTTTGTGTATAACATATTCAATAAATAGTGATTCGTTATTTGATGCCTTTGAAAGTTATTTAACTTATACATCTCCTGTTACTCAAATGATGTATGATTGTCCAACGAATTGGCTTGATTTAAATAAGCATTGTTATCGAATATCGGATGAACGTAAAACAATACAAGAAGCAAGAAATAGTTGTATTGCTGTATCCAAGGCTGAACAAAATAAAAAACATGAAGAGATTATAGCATATATTAGTGATAGTTATGACGATGATGATGATAAGAAGACAGAAAGGGATAATAAAATCAAGGATTATATTAGTGATTTACTTAAAGGCGAAATCGTTCAATATACATCACAATGGCAAGGTCGTCTTGGCTTTTTCCTGCTTGACACAAGTAAAGTTTCTGATAGGAATGTGATTAATGGTTACTTTTTTTTGTAGTGGTTTCTCATAGCTGAGACAATGCTATTATTTAATTTATGGAATAAATAGAAAACAACTTAGATTATTATAGCTTTGAGTTTTAATTGGAAAGAATAATTCTATTAATATAGAACTATGTTTAAACGTTAGTCCTTTCATTTTGATTAATCTTCTGTGAATTTACTAAATTAATTTTTCTTGTTTTGTTTATCAGCTACATAATATAGATTGTCACTAGTAAAATATATACAGAAAATATACGGAAAGTTTTTTTTCTGAAGACTCTTAATTTGACATAGAAAGATCTAGAAGGATTTTATACTGATGTTGGGATAATTTTCATAGAAAAAAAAACAGCTATAACCTGATGATCATCATTTCTTATGAATTCTGAGGATAATAAAAAGCGTAATGAAGATGAACATAGTATTGATACTTTTTTCAATAAATACTAGCATGATTTTCTCTTAGACATATCAAGTAATGAATCAACAAATCAAGATGATAAAAAGATGCCATCATTAGGATCCAATCTTAATATTAATCGTTCATCTATGAATGAATTTCAATTGATTGATTTAAATGAAATTAATAAGTCAGCTGGAAAAAGTGACTCATGTTTAGTGTTTACACGTTCAATGATTGACGATAAAGGAAGTTCTATTTTAAAAAATACTCGAGTTAATAATTGTTCAAACCCAAGACATGTTTTATGTACAACAAAATCAATAATGACTCATCATTCTGAAAAAGGTTGTTTTCATAAACCATTAACACTTGGTGTACCAGTCATGATATCAAATCATTTAACATATGAATTATGTTTATCAGTTTGTAAAGGATTAGAAACAAATTTAGTTATTCTTCATGTGAATAAATGTTATTGTTTCAATGCTGCTTTGACATGGTTAGCTGAAACCACACGAAATAATTCAAAACATAAAAAACAAGATTGTGGAAATCCTTGTCCGGGTATGTTTGAGCAATAAATATTAATACTTCTTTTTTTGTCAGTAAAATCAATTCAATTATAGTTCAGAAGCTTTTTATCGAAGACAAAGCTCGAGATCGACTTTGAAAATAAATAATGCAAAAACATGTGACTGAAATTTGCTCATTGACAAATATGCCATTCGTAATATTTCGAAACCTTATAGCTTTGGCTAAAACAAGAGAAATTTCGTTGTACTTTCTTCATTGACAAAATTATAAAATCATATGTAATTCTTTCATACTACAGCTATTCTCTTCAGATTTACTTGAAATATGTTTTCAAATTACTCGAGTAATCCATTGTTATTGCATCTTGAATTTCAGTTTCAAGTTTACTTAAGTCTGTCAATAATAATCAATCGATTCTATGGATTGGAACTGTCTACTGACATATGAAAAGCATTCATATATTCACGATTAGATAGATGATGTCTATCTCTATATGTATGTATACATATTTTCTTCTGTAGTGAAAGCCTTATAGGTGTTATTCAATTAAGCAGGTTCGAGTTGCAAAAGTATTTAATAGTTTGGTCGTGCTTCGAAATCGATCGGCCTAATGAACTCTATTTTGAACATTATATTATCGATAATTTTCATAGTTAATAGATCCATCTACTTTTATAATTATATCGGATATAAAAGTTATAAATTCATTATTCTTCTCTTATTTTGTTTATTTGGCATTTTTCTCTTCTTTTTTGGGAGCTTATTATTTATAATTTTAGGAAATAAACATGAACGCTGTGGTGATGACAACACAATCGTTATCTTTTATATTGTTGATACTCTATTTGCATCCAGAGTCGGATTTCGAAATAAACTAGATAAACCAAATCCTGATTTTATTTTTGATGACTGTGTAAATTTAAATTCTGTGAATCCATCAACAATGTATCAATTCAATTTCAAACGTACAAGTGATATTCATCCACGTCATTGTTTAGAACTATGTACTAACTATAAACAAACATATGCTCTTCTTAATTTAAACAAATGTTTATGTACCAATGTTTCACCGAAAAAGAAACAATATGATCTCTTCACATCTCTAGGTCTTAACTGTACTCGAGAATGTCCAGCAAATTATTTTTATACATGTGGAAATACAAGCAATTCATCGATATATTCAATGTATGTAATGGAACTAAATTGTCCTGTTGGTAAGAAAACAAAAATCAAAATTAACTATTGATAAAACAGAAAATAAGAAATTTTATTAGTTTTTTAGGTTTTATGCTAGATAAAGATAAACGAAGATGTGTATATACAGATACTTTGACAGAGAAAGATTCTTTTTTAGATGCACAATCATACTGTAGATCAATTGGTGGTATGCTTGCACAAATGAACGATATTTTAGGAATTCAAGACGTTTTACTCAGTTCAGTTTTCATTTTCTATCATTCACTCAGCCATTCATCATATTATTATTCAAGTCCATTTGATAATAAAAAGTATTTTTGGATTGATCGTACATCCAATACTATAAACAACAATAAAAACTTAGATCGTCTTATTGAAAGATGTTCTCAAACATCAAAATTTGCTGATCGAAATTGTATTCTTCTTCGTTATCAAAAAATTCTAATTGATAATATAACAAGTTATGAACGATGCTTTACTGAATCAGATGAATGTTCATCCAAGTCTGCTATACCAGTTTGTGTTGATAAACATTTAGAATCTGATTCAACTATTATTCCTCCGATTACTGATAACAGTTCGTCAATTATATCAGTTCATACATCAATAGATTATTCATGTGGGCATAATAAAGAGTATCATCTTATCGATCAATATTGTTATAAAGTACACTTTCACGAGACGACTTGGCAGGATGCAAAAGCTGAATGTGAACGTGAGGATGCTATGTTATTCATACCTGAAAAAACGATCATATTAGAAATGATAAAATCGTTATTTTTACGTCGACGTAGTTACACATCATCTGGTGTTGCACATGTTGGCCTCATGTATAATAATCAAAATCGTACTGTTATACAATATAACACGAAGGATGGAAAAGTTTTAGGAAACGTATCAGATCCCGATTCTTCGTACTATGAATGTGAAAGAACATTTCGTAGACGTTATGAAACATTATGGTCATCATTGTTTTTATCAACAAAAGAAAAGAATCAATTAAAATCTCAGCAAACTGGTTGTGGATATGTTGATTTTCGATCTGACATGGGACTATCTATTTCATGTGATGAAATACCTTGTGATCGGCTAGCAACTGTAATATGTCAAAAGTCGCCGATTCGAAAAACACGTGCCATTATAGCAAAACGGTTAGTTCTCAGTACAATAGATGCCAAGTATAATCAGATTTGTCTTTGTAAACTGTAAATTTTATTTAAATAAGTCTTCAACGGTAAGGAAAAGTGTTTTAAGATTTCATTTTGTGTTATGCTCGAATCAGTGAATATATCAGCAAGTATTAGTTCATACGATCAATACATTTTCCTAAAATATAGATGAAAGAGAAAGTTTTCCTTCTATTCTGCACCCTGATTAAGAAATTTTCTAATACATATCTTATAGACTTGTATTATAAAGAGCTTTACATCGATTGTTTTTTATTTTATACTCGATGGTTATTTCTAAAGCGATCTATACGCTTATTCTGAATTAGAATTGATTTAACCATGAGTATAAAATGTCATAGATATATTAGGACTCGATTGCCGGGATTTAACCAAGATTATGCAAAAAAAGAAAACATGATCATTACTCTACTTTCTTAGAAATATCAAATGAGTTTCTCAAGTTTCATGAAATCGTTTGCTTTTCGTTATAGTGGTTACATCGACGAACCGGTAGATGATGAATCAAATGATCAAGAATCCACAAACTCTATCAACAGAGATTTTGCACCAATTCTCTTCGTTTTCGGCATTGTATTCGTTTTTATACTTCTTGCATTTATAGGTATAATATACAATCAGTATTTTACGCGAAAAAGTAATAATAGACAGAATAATAATTCTGTTTATTCTCAATTGTCAACGGCAAATGAATTGGATTTAAATTGAAACCACTATCGTTTACTATTTTTTCATTCAAAAGAATGATTTTTCTTTTTTGAATTTGTGCACATTTGGACTAACTTATTCGATTTTTTCTTGCACATGTCATGTCATTTTGCACAATATCAATAATAAACAAAGAAAGACAGACAACTTTCAACAAAAATCAATAATGTCCAAGAGGAAATGAGAGAACAGCGACTTTATTATAAAAACCATATTCTTTCTTTGTCAATAACCCATAATACTTTACTTCGTGCATCATCTGAAATACAGATCATTAATTTATCTTGATTTACTCACATTTAAAAACAGCAGTAAAGACTGTCTAGAAAATGTGTGGATATGCCCAGGCGAGTAAAAGATGAGTAAAAAGACTATTCGTTTCTCTAGTCCAAACTATGCATCGCATCTAGCCTTTTTTCAAAAAGTCCTAGTTCATGACGAGTTCAAAATCGTTTGCAGTTTTTAGCTCCCGTCTAGACTATGGAAGTAGCTGGCATTATTCTATATGTGATACTTAGTCTTTTTTTTGCAAAAAAGGCTAGACATGTTGCTGCGTCTGAATGCCCGTCCAAAATAGATTTTAAATCGAAAAAGGAAAAGCGTCCACAACGCTGTATCTAACAGAATGTATTATGTGATGGTCTAGTCTGGACTAGTCTAAATAATAGAAATATAGAACAAAAGGGTAGATTAGAACATGCGTACAATTTATCATTTATCCATCGTGTAATTCACTCAACCATAAAAGACCAAATGATCAATTCCTGCATGTCAGTATACATTCTAAGATAGTATTTAACACAGGTGCTCAAAGTTTTCAAGTTGTAATATCAATAGAAAATATTTATCATAAAATTCATAATTATTTCAGTAAGTCTGAATAAAACTAATTTAGAACATTTTTATCTTTTCCAAAAAAAAAAAGATTTTTTTGATCACCGAAATTTTGAAAAAATTATTGTGTATTGAAAGAATAATTAAAATCGAGAAAAAAGAATTAAAACTAATCAAAATAAAAAAGTATTTTTTTCATATGATGATTTCTATTTATTTTAATTTGAATTGTTTTCAATTTCAACTTGAAAACAAACTGAAATTTTATATTTTAAATTCATTTTAAAATTCAAAGTAAACCTCCCCTCATATTAAAAGATCCAGGGCCTTGTATAATGTTTAAGCGGAACATTTATTTAGGGGGGGTCTTGTATTATGACTCTCGTATTTTCGCGATTTTTTCGACACTCACAATTATTTTTGAAGAATTTAGTAAATGCAAGTTTAAGTTCAAGTCTTACGGCTCCTCAATTTTTATTATAGCAATCAGATGCTGGGGAAAACATCACCCACACCCTTCCCACAGCAACAAACAATAGGAAGTAATTAATATCAACGGCTATCTTATTTTATAATCTGTAATTTCTAATTTCTCTTCTAAATATTATGCTTTTAAGTTTTGTAAAACTCACATATATTTTGGAAGGAACTAACAGTGATCGTAGGTTTGAGTCAAGATTTTTCAGGTGTTCCCTCTTCCCCATTATATGTCGTAGCAATCATTTAGATTTAATACCCGTAGAATAAAAAAATGAAAACAAATGGTGGCTCTCAGGTAAAAAAATTTAATAAATGGCGTTTTCCATGATGAAAAGGATATAATCATGCATGTTTCTTATTTTCATTGATTAAAATCAAAATTTTTACCACTCTCGTTTCATGATTTTGATTTCTAATCATTTTCATTATAATGATCTTGATTAGAAATCAAAATCATGAAATGTAATTCCTGAAACATTCATTTTAAACGATGAAAATACAAAACATGCATGATTATATCCCTTTCATTATGAAGCATGGCATTTTTTTCGTTTTTCTATTCCCTGGGAAGGTTGAGAAAACTTCTACGATCATTGCTTTTCAATAGTTCGAATATTTTTATGAGCATTCGCAAAAAGCTAGCCTCCTTTTTTGCGCAGATAAAAGTTTATACGATCTATTTGAAAGATAACCTTTTGTGATTTTTCATAACGGTAGTATAAGTTATATAAAATCGTGATCAAACTACTTTCTA